CCCCAGCCTCGGGGACAAGGACAGAGGAGGGTCCACCCAAAGTACTGAGCAGCCCTCTGTCCCCACAGCCCTTGGGGAGGGCATCCCCTTGGCCAGCCCCATGTCCCAAGCCATGCCGGTGTCCCCAGCCCCATATCCCAAGCCATGCCAGTGTCTCCAGCCCTATGTCCCAAGCCATGCCGGCGTCCCCAGCCCTATGTCCCAAGCCATGCCGGTGTCTCCAGCCCTATGTCCCAAGCCATGCCGGCGTCCCCAGCCCTATGTCCCAAGCCGTGCCGGTGTCTCCAGCCTGCAGCATTACTGCCCCGGAGCTGCACCCGGGGTGTGACAAACCCCCCCTTTCCACGGAAAAAGCTTTAATTTCTCAACCCCCCAATGGCAGGTGCACCCCAAGCTCCCAGTGTGTCACCACCACGGTGCCACAGGGCCACAGCTCTGCCTGTCACTGCTTTCCCCGGCTTGGTGACTCTGCCAAACCCTCCCAGGGCTCTCTCTGCGGGTGCCGTGCCAGAGTGGGCATCTCCATCTCCGATACCTCTGGGTGCTGCTCCCTGCATCCCGCTGGCACCCTGAGCACCTTGCTGACACCTAAAGGACACGGTGGCCCCAGCTGTCCTTGCCTGCTGCTGAGGTTGGGGCCGGTGAGTGGCATCCCTCCCGTGATTTTATTCAATAAACATTTCTGGCTCTGCAGCGCACCCACCCTCGGCAGGGCCCAGTCCGGTGCAGCTCCCCAGGGACGGGAGAAAGGGTCCCCAGGACATCTCCGTGGGTGTCCCTTGGAAGGACATGGGACATGGGATGGAGCCAGTTCCTCCAGTGCTGGCAAGCAGTGCAGCTCAGTGCCCAGCCACCGCAGCCCCGGGCCAGGGGCTGGCAGGGGTCCCTGGAGCCCACCCCTCCCCACCGGGGATCTGGGGGTCAATTGGGATAATCCCCCCAATGGAGACCAGCACAGGGGGGCTTCACAGACCCTTCCCCAGGTGGGGTTGGGGACACTATCCCCACGGGTGTCCTCACTGGCACACGGCTCCTCCTGGGGGTGTTCCCAATTGCGTCCCACCGGCTGCAGCAGGGAGGGACAGGGCAGGGTCCGGCCGACCCACTCCAGCCCCCATCATGACCCAGCGTTTATCCAGGATGGCAAAGCCATCTCTGCAGCGAGGACAGGACAGCCACACCGCGAGGTGCCCACCCCCGGCTGGACCCCAGCATGCCCAGCCAAGGTGCAGAGGGAGCTCTGCTGTGCCTCAGTTTCCCCAGCATGTGAGCATCCAGAGGTGGGTGGCCTTGAGCATCCCAACCGGGGCTGAGCTGTGACCACTTGCACTGGGCTGGTGGTGGCCGAGGAGGCTCCCGGGCTGGGCCAGCAGCCGGGAGTGGTGGCCTCAGGGCAAGGCTGGCACCGTGGCGGGGCACCCATGGGTGCTGGAGAGGAGCGGGAGGGCAAGACGAGGATACAGGGCGGGTGCTGGCTCTGCTGTCACTCTGAGCCCTGCCAGGAAACGGCCCTATGCCCTGGGGTCAGGTGTCTCACGGTGGCCCAGGGCTACTGTGACACCCGCTCTGTCCCCAAGCCAGCGTGAAGCCCCTCGAGAGCCCCCGTTCTCCGAGACCTGGGAGACCTCCCAGTGCTGGGAGCCTCCCGGGGATGCACTGCAGGGTCAGGGGTGTGGGACCCTCAGGTAGCTGATGAATCCGGGTGTGATCACAGCCCTGGGGACCCCCAGCCACACCGTGTCGAGATCCCGCCAGCCCCATGGCCCGGCTGAGCCTGGCCAACACGGTGTCCCATCTGGCTGGCTGGAG